TTGAAGCTCTAAGCTCTAATGTGACTATATTTGGAGACAGGGACTATAAATGAGGATATAAGGGTGGAGCCCCAATCCAACAGGATTAGCATCCTTATAAAAGAAAAAGGAGATACTAAAGAGTTCTCTCTCTCTCTCTCTCTCTTTCTCCCTCTTTTCCTCCCTCCCTTCGCCTCTCTCCCACACTGACACATCCTCAACGCACACACAAAGAAAAGGTTAGATGAGTACACAGGAATAAGGTGACCACGGAAAGCCAGGAGGAGGGGCTTCAGAATGAAGCCTACTTTGCCAGTACCGTGACTTTAGACTTCGCAGCCTCCGGTACTGTGAGAAAGAAATTTCTGTTGTTTATAAGCCATCTTCTTCACGGTGTTTGTTACGGCAGCCTGAACGGATTAATGGGGTGGGTGCGAGGCTGCGTGTGAGACGGGAAGAGGGGAGCAGAAGTGGATGCGAGATGGCCCAAGACGGCTCTGTCGTGGAGAAGACATAGGCTGGTGGCATGTGGGCATGTCCTTAGCAGGACACACGTTAGGCAACTCAGGTGCTCTTCCGCTTCTGGCCTAGTTGAAGTTCACAACGTGATCATCAATCTTTTCCAAAGAGACTATAATTTAACATAATAAGCAATCTTGAAAAAATGTTACACATTCCCACATGGAAGAAGAAATTGTGGCGAAGGCCACACCTACGACAGGACTCCATCTCTCATCCAAGGTCCAGCTTGTCTTCGAGGAAGGAGAATGAAAAAGATTGAAGTCAAAGGAGATTTTTTTTCCTGTTGATCTGACTTAATCTATTTCCCTTCCCCCTAACGGAGGCTGCAGGCTGAAGCTGATTTGCAAAATAATTTCCATGATGTTGTTAGTGGGATTTTGTTTTTCTTTATTCTGTGGACATACACAGTGGTGGGCATAGAGTAAAGGACGGGGTGAGGGTGGAGGAGTTATTAATCTTTGTGTCCTAAAAAAGAGTTTGCCTAAAACCATCACACTACACATGTTAAAACCCTACCTGCTGCCTTTTAAAGTGTGACGTACATCTGTGACGAGGCAGTGGGTATTCTTAGTACTGCTGATGGTTCTTCGTTGCCTAAGAATGTGGCACCAGTAACTATTGGAAAGCTTAAGTGTCAAGCCAGAAGAGGGTCTTTGCCCTGACTCAGTTTTAATTGAATGAATTCCATTTGCGAAGTGTGTGTGTGCGTGTGTGTGTGTGTGTGTGTGTGTGTGTGTGTGTGTGTCAGAGACAGAAACAGAGAGACTGAGACACAGAAGGAGAGACGCAGAGACCTGGCTGGGGTGGCTCATTCTTATAGCTGAGCTGTTGGCTGGGCTGGTTTTCATTTAACTTTGACTGACATTTGATGCTGTTGCTTCTTTAGAATAAGGTCTTTTATAATTTCCTCCCTTTTCCCTGCATGATTTCTGACCATCATCGGGTAAAGCAGAATTATTTCTAATGGGTTTTTGATTTTTCTTTGGAGCTCCCATTTTTAGTAAGCACACAAAAAAACTATTCATTCACATTGCTACCTTACACTAAACGTTCTTTGTTAAGTTAAATTCTGCAGGCCGGGCAGCATAAACATTCCAGAAAAAAAAAAAAAAAAATTCATTGTACCACTGGTTCTAAGAATCTGGCACCAAACAGTCCACTAAGGTTTGTTTAAATAAGAAATGTATGAAAAGAGGGACCTTTTTCACAGCGGTGATGGCCTTGGCCACAGAAGTCACCTGTGTGAGCCCTGGTCATTGCAGGAGCAGTAAGGAGCCTGTCAGTGAAGCTTTCCTCCAGGGAAGAGCCTGTGGGGAGACTTCTTCCTTTGGAAATTCTGCATCTTCTAGTTTTTCTAAGGATAGTTTCAGCCTTTTTAGGCCTAGCAGATGTCACTACTTGAGGAGAGAGTCAGAGAAAAGCAGCTGGAAGTGAAAATAATTTACTTTAAGAACTCGAGCGGTTCTTCTGTGAAATCACACTATTCAGTGCCTCTCCATCAAGTTGATCTTAATTTTCTAGCCCCCTCACTTCTAATTTGATCTCGTAAAACAACTTAAGCATCGAGGGCTGCACTGGGCAGAGCTGGGGCCGGGACGTTGTTTTTCTGTGCTGTGCACCGTGATTTTGTCAGTCTTCCGCTTCCCCATCTGGGCTGCCCTCTCCCAGCTTCCTCCTCTCCTCCTCGAACCTCTGCTCGTTCCTGCCTTGCTGCAAATCATCAATCAGGCGTTAACGTAATCACGGAATTTAATATTACACTCATGCTTTGTACTGAAGCATTCATAGACTCGTAGGATGATTCGAGTGGACAGGGTCATTCATCCATTCGTTCACTCATATGTTCTTCACATATTTGTGCTTCGTGTTAGGTATCGCAATGCCCAGGCCTTAATATGTGGAGAAGCTATTAGAATCTAATCAGATAAATTCTATAATGGAAGTGGCAACAGAGGACAGTGGAAGCAGAGAAGATATACTTTGCCAGTCCGTCAAGGGGGAGCCTCTGAAGGTTTCCCAAAGCTGGCAGTGGGCAGACCATAATTCAGAAAATAGGTGCTTTAAGATCCCGAAGATGCTGGATAATGTCCTGACGGACCTTGAATGTCATGCAAGGGAATTCCTAATATGTGGAGAAGCTATCAGAACCCAATCAGATAAATTCTATAATGGAAGTGGGAACAGAGGACAGTGGAAGCAAAGGAGATATACTTTGCCAGTCCATCAAGGGGGAGCCTCTGAAGGTTTCCCAAAGCCGGCAGTGGGCAGACCATAATTCAGAAAATAGGTGTAGGAAGAACGTTTCCACTAGAGAACAACATGTGCCAAGACGTGGAGAAGTTGAGGGACCATGAGAGGCTGAGCATTGCTGTAAGGTGTGCTGTGAGCAGAGAAGACACAGCCCATGGCCCCGAAGATGGTGGATAACGTCCTGACGGACCTTGAATGTCATGCAAGGGAATTTAGATTTTAAACTAGTGGCAACAGAAAAATCCTTGAAGATTTTTTAGCAGCTATTTTATGTTGAAAAGGATCACTCTGGAGCTAAGAGGTATGGACGGGATAGGAGGAAGAATCAGTGAGATTCACATCAGGGAAATTTAGAAAGAGGCTCATGCAAGATGATCAAGGCCTGAGCTAGGGCAGTGACTCTGGGCATAAAGGGGAGAGATGCTCACGACTGAGACATTAACTGGGTAGGGAGAGGGAAGAATCTAAATGAGTCCAAATTTCTCCAGCTTAATTGATTGGATGGATGGTTGTACCATTCACCTGTAAAACGTATGTCTATTTATAGAGCAGTTTAGAGCTGAATGAAATGACGAATTCGGTTTTGTGTTTCTTAGGTTTGGACTGAAGATACCGAGTTCTGGAAATATGGATGGCGACTGAAGCGAGCGAAGTCTGAGAAGACAAGGTCAGGGACAGAGTTGTGGGGTAGTCCACATGTGAGGATACCATCAGAGATTATCTCCTCAACTATGAATAGATTCCACCCCGCCCTCCATGGTTTATAAGGTCTGGGTGAGGCCTAAGAATCTGTTTCTAAAAAGCTCTCCAGGGGATTCCCATAAGCAGCTAGAGCGGGAACCACAAAGCTCGCCCCACCCTATTTTAAGACTGAGCTGGAGCCTGAGGTCCAGGGGTGGGGATGGGGTTGGGGGTGGGGGGGGGAATGACTTTCTCAAGGTCACAGAGTTCCCTAGAGGTTGAGTGAGGCTCAGATTCCCAATCCACTGTCCTTTCTCTTCCTCAGTGCCTGAGGTCACCAGATCCCTTTATCTTATTTAGCTTTGAAAACCACTGGGGATGGTCTGTGCTTCATTCTGGGTGTAACATGCGATCCGTTATAACACAGCTGGCTGAGCAGCGGCTCTGGTGGACTGAGAGAGAGAGGTGTCTTTCACGAGCTCACGCCACTGGTTTTCTAACAATTCTGTCTCGTAAGATACCCTCATCTGTAGAGAGAAAATGTATTGTCGGCGACTTAGAAAAATAAGGTGGGTCTTTCACCTAACGTTTTGTATAATCTGGACCATGGAAGAGAAAAATGCTTCTATTTTAGTGGGGGATGATCAGTGGGAGAAAAACAGGCCTCGAATCTATAGATCTTCTTATGAGAATTTATAAGATGATGCAAAATAAAAGCCGAGATCACAGTGTTTAGGAAAATCGACATGTCCTTGGCTGTGGGACACCCTACGAACAAATACCAAGAGGTTTCTCGGGTTCGTCTCCCCTTCAGAGCACATACCCCCTTGGAATTAGTCACAATCCCATGATTTGCTTTAAGCAAAGACACATCAGCAGAAGCAATGGGTGTCATTTCTAGCAGAATAAACATGTGAAGCTTCTCCGTCCTCCATGCTTTGTGCCGCTGCTCCGATGAACCGTGAAGCTGGAGATGGCAGTGTTACGAGATGGTAGAACTTCTGCCAACCAGGACCAAGGAGTGACTGTCCTGATCAGAGCCCTTCCGCCGACTAGCGTGGAAAATGTAGTGTGAATAAGAAAACCCGAAACAATTGTTTTAAGCCACTGGGCTTTGGGTGCGATTTGTTGACAGCAGCACAATTTAGCTTAATCTGACTAATGCTTCCATCAGTAGAAAACAGGCACAGGAAACAGGCATTTAATAACATAAACCCCGAGGCGTCACGAGAGGGAAAGATCTCTGCAGGCCCGAGCAGTCGTAGAAGGCGATTCTGGTCAACTGGAATAATAGGACGCGGGCTGGGTGGAGCTCAGCAGAGAAACACTCAGGGTTATGCACTTGGAGTTGAAAAGTGAGCATATTCAAAGGCACGGTGCCAACCACTCAAAGGCAGTTGGCTGCAAAATTGAAAGTATAGCTTTAGTGGATAGCCAGTTGACCGGGAGGAATTGCCACAACCCTGCGGTTCCGTTGATTAAAAAAAAAAATGCAAGCAGAGAACTGTGGCAAACGAAAAGCATGTCTGTATCATGAGGTCATTGCTACGCTGCTCTGCCCTGATCGGAGTTGTAGCAGAGAGCTGTGGCCGGCTCTGCTCTCCGTAGTTCAATGGCATTGAGAGAATGTGGAGAGAATTCAGAGCAAAAGCCAATAGTCACTCAGTGAGCAGCAAGGAAGGGCTAAAGGACCTGGGATTATTCACCCTAGCAGGGAAAAGCTCCGGGGTGATTTAAGAAGCATCAGCATTGGACACAAACTTCAGAAGAGTTGCTGCATGGAGGATGATGGCCGCTTTTTCTCTGTTGCCAAGAGCACAAAAAGAATGGGCTTATTAAAGTTAAACGAAAGGAAGAATTTCCTTTCCCCAAGGGTTGTTTGACACCGTAGGGTTGGAGATTTCTCCCTGGAGGACTTAACAAAGATCAGTGTTTTTAAAAATGGAATGGCTTCGCTGGGTCCTTCCTGAAGCCCAGGGATGGAAGGTTCTCAGTCTCTTTTCTGCCATGACCTGGATGATGGATGATGTCCACTGGGGGACACTCCCATGGGCACGCTGACAGTGTGCACAACTCCCAGCATCCTCCTGGCAGCTGTGTTCCTTTCCTTCCTCTCAAGAAAACATACCAGGAAATGAGGGGGAGCTGTGTTGTGATCAGGATAACCTCAAATCCTCTTTTTAAAAAAGGTAAATGTTTTGCACATGTCAATATTTTAACTTATTGTTTGTAAAAATAGCTTGAGAAATGATCATTCGACACTTATGTAACAAGTAATTACTGAGTGAGATACTTGTGCGTGCGTTAAGTGTGTGCGTATTGAGGGTGTCTAGGCTAAGTCAACATGCGGTTACAGTTCGGTGTGATAGATGCTGTTCTGTGGGACATGTGACACGCTGTGAGCCCAGGGCGAGAGCCGCTGAGCGCGTACTCGGAGGCCCAGGGAGGCACGTGCAAGCTGCGATCCTCCACAGGTCAAGTGGAGGGAAATCTGCCAACAGCAGAGGAGAGGCCAGAAAGTGGGGTGGGGGTGGGGGGCTGCCTGGGTCAAGGGTCAGAGTTTGGAGACACACAGAGAAAGAGAAATGGGGAGCTATCTGAGTATAAAATGGGGCTGGCGAGGGGAACAGGTGAGAGCAGGCAGGACCCGGGGCGCTTGGGTCCCCTCGGCTGTTAGAAAGCTCGGGCTGCCTGCCAGGAGCACGTCACGCTCGCGCTGCAGAAAGATGACTCCACTGCAGTGTCGAAAATTGGTTAGAAGGGATTTGAAATTAATCTGGCCTGGATTTGAATCTCTGTTCTGTGTTATTAGCTATAAGATTTTCGACAAATTAATCTCCCTGAATCTCAATTTCCTCATCTGTAAAACAGACATAATGGTGTCTATCTGGCAAGGGTGGCCGAGGACAAATCTAAATGTTGTCTGTAAAAGGCTTGCAAAGTGTCCGATACCCGGATCTGGGTGCACGACAAGCATTGGGTCCCTTCTCTATGAAGTCACAGTCAATTAGCAATAAACGCACTTGCCACAGTACAGAGTCAAATCTTTTTTTTCATTTGAGAGCGATTATCACATGGGCAGTTCCTACGATTCTCTTCAAACTGGAGAGGCCAGACAAGATTTTCCTTCCGTCCTTTAATCATCTTTGTGGTTCTTTGTAGAACTCTCTGCAATTTTTCAAAATTCCTCTTCAATTGTGGAGACCACAGCTAGATTAGTCACCGTAGCGAATTCATTATAATTAGATCAACGCTGTGCAGTGGCTTGGGCCGCTGGCCGACCCGTGTACACCCAGTCAGCCGGTCCCCACCGACAAATGAGTTGTGTTCCAGGCATTCATTAGTAAGTTGGTTGTTTGGGACACAGAAAGCTTTTCCCCATAGAAACAGAATTATAGATGGTGGCTTGTTTCCCAGGCCAGTACACAAAAATCTATTTACTGCACATGCAGCTGAACCAGGGCTGGCAATAATAGTCCTTCAAGCCCCTGACTTGCCTAAGCCAGCCCCAAGGAGCCCCCAAAACTGCCAACCCCAGGCATCCACCCTGAGCCATCTGCGGAAAGTAGGGAGTGGGCTGAGAGCTCTAAGAGTGAGGGCCATTTGCAGCCTGGCTGTGAAGAACCAGGTCTTTCCCTGAAACTGTGCTTCTTATTATGTAAGCAAGCAGTCAAGAGCTACCTGGCCATAGCTACACCTACCGTCTGCTGGCTATTTTATTTCAATCTACCTAAGTTATCCTTAATCCTTATGAAAATCCTGCAGGAAAATTCTTTTTGTTGTTGTTCTTTCTGTTTGGCTGGTGTCTTGACAGGACCGCACGTATCCCAACGACAGGCAGGTAGAAGGTGGTGGAATTTACTGCAAGCTCTGGCTTTCTGTCTTGCAAAGTTGAGAGCTTTTCACTGCACAACACCGCCTCCCAGTGGACAGCGCTTAGCACATAACCCGGCGTCGCTAAACCAGCTACGTATAGTCTTCAAGTGAAGTAACAAGTTCTTCATTCATATGTCCAACAAAGAATCTTTGAATGCTTCCAGTGAGGTAGGCCTTGGGAACGCAAAATCAAATTAGACTTGGTGTTCTCACACAGTAGTTGGGAAAAAGAACAAGTAAATCAAGGAGACAAAAATATGATCAATTTTTTTTTTTTTTTCAATTATACAGAAAGCCAGAAGAGAGAGAGATGAATCAGACTTTGGTGGTTGTGATGATAAATAAGGAAAGCTTTCTAGAGAAGTGAGCTGGGCCGAGCCTTGAAGGATGAATTGGAGTTAGATGTAAACCTACATGACACAGGGCCGAAGGATATTCCATGCAGAAGGAACCGTATGTTTAAATGCATAGGGACACGAAACGCACCAAAAATATATTAAGCATTTCCCTGACCCATCCGCTTTTGTGATAGGTCAGCACCATGCAAAGAGTAGCTGACAACTTATTTTGTGGGATAGACAAGTGAAAATAGTATTTATGATAGCTCTAATTTGCCTTTCTCTGATAGTGACATTTTTAGATTCCTTATATAGTTAAAACACATATTTGTATTTTTTCCTGTGAACTACATTTATTGTTAATTTTGGGGGGGAGGGGTGTTGGTCATTTAAAAATTGATTTGTAAGGAAATGAAAACACTAACTTGAAAATATATACGTACCTCCATGTTCACTGCAGCATTATTTACAATAGCCAAGACATGGAAGCAACCTAAGTGCCATTAATGGGTGAATGGATAAAGAAAATGTGAGACACACACACAGGAATATTATTCAGCCATAAAAAAGAAGGAAAATTTGCCATTTGCATTAGCATTATGCTAAGTAAAATGTCAGAGAAAAACAAATACCATATGATCTCACTTATATGTAGAATATATATATATTAAAAAAAAAAAACACGAGTAAATAGATACAGAGAACAGACTGGTGGTTGCCAGGAAAGGGGGTGCGGGTGGGCAAAATGGGTGAAGATGATCAAAAAGTCTAAACTTCTAGTTACAGAATAATCCTGGGGTATAATGTACAGCAGGGTGACTGTAGTTAATCTCTTTCAAAGGTTAGTTAAGAGGGGAAACGTTAAAAGTCCTTATTCCAAGGGAAAAAACCTTATGACTATATATTGTGATGGACGTTAGCTAGACTTGTGATTATTTCACAGCAAACACAAATATCCAATCATTATGCCTTACATCTGAAACTAATATAGTTGTGTCAATTATATCTCAATTTAAAATTGATTTGTAAGAGTTCTTAATTCATTATACAATCATTTATTTTTTGATTAAAAAAATTTTTTTTCTAAAGATGTTCCCCAACTACGATTATTTTTTTTTAATTAGATCCTCTTTTTACCTTTAAATTTTTGATCCAGCTTTCTATCCTCATGGGCAGAGATGGGCTTCCCCAAGTGCAAAAGGAATCTAAAAAAGCTGGATGACCGCGCGGGGTTCCAGCTGGTGCAAAGGGACATTCACACTGGCAGGATGCAGCAGAGAACAGCAAGGGCAGAACCATCTGGAAGCTGCCCGGTGCTGCTTCAGTCTCTCCTCATCTCTCTCAAATGGGGAGACGCCTGGTCTGGGCTAGAGGGTTCTAGGATCCTTGACACAGGCAGCAAAACCGGCATAGGGGAGTGAGCTCTGAAAGAAAGGACAAGGCAAAGCATGCGTGGGCGCGTGCGTGCACACAGACACACACACACACACACACACACACACACACACACCCCACGACAAAACAAACAGAGCAAAGGCTGCAAACAAAATTTGAAAGCACATGAAGAAAACAAACATGAAGAAAAACAACAAACTCAACAGAAGTTAATTTAACTGCTAATAAGAAACCACTGGCAGCCTCGCCACCGATACCTCTTTAGAGTCCATCAGTGCTAATCTAATTGTGCTTTCAGCTCTGTTCAGTCACTTCGTGGGGCCCCCAGACCCCGAGTCACTCCTCCTCTCCTGCCTCCTAATCTCCCTGTGGCATCACACCTCCCTATTCTGTTCACGTCTCCCATCTCCCCCAAACCCTGAAACCCCTCCGTCTGGCCCTTGGTCATGAGCAAAGCCCCTGCGCCCTCTGCCTCATTTCTGAATGGTCTCAGCTTCCTGCTCTGAGGCCAACGTGCATCTCCCCCGAGGTCACTGCTTCCCCTACAGTCCTCTTCCTAATCCCCTCACCCTGCGACCACTGGGCCTGGGGGGATCCTCCTTCCTCCTCTTTGATGCTTCCAGCCCATTCTCCTCCCTCCTCCCTAAATTCACCCAGCTTTTATCCAATGTCACCAGATTATATTATCCACCATGTACAACACCTTACTGGTGCATCGTCACTGACCCCAGCGACGCACCCTTCATAACTTGACAGTTGTAGTTTCCAGCTCACTCTAAGTCTCTCCAACACCAATCCTGTCTGAATTCTAGGTGATTTTAATGCACACGTTGATAATTCCATACCCAGATGTCTCAGTGCCTTGACTTCCCCTTGTCATTTCCCAACCTCAGTCACTAACCTCAGTGGTCATTCTGTGGACCCTGTCGCCACCAATCAATGCAACCCCTCCGTAATCTCCAGCTGGGGCACCCCGATCTCTGAGCAAGACCTCTTGTCTCTCCAGCTCACTTTTCCTGGTGACCCTGCCCCAGCCCCTCCCCTGTCCTCACTGCCTGCAGACCCTTCTCCTCTTCCCCAAGAGACATTCCATGGTCAGATATTGTAATCGGTCCCTCTCACATACTCTCAATTTCCATGCCCCTTTCTCACTTTATACCATAAATTTAATCACACGTTATATATATGCTTCTGTGTCTGGTTTCTTTGCTCAACGTCATGTTTCTCAAGTTCCTCTCTTCCGCTGAGCATAGCAGTAGTTTATTTCCCTCCATTCCTGTACGGCACTCAAAAGTATGAGTGTCCCACCGTCTGGTTCTCCGCTGTATGGTTGCTGGGCGTTTGGGCCGTCTCCAGCTTTTTGCTGCTGCTGCTGTGGACATTCTTGCACCCGTCTTCTGTGCATGCATTTCTTTTGGAGCGGAATTGCGGGGCCACAGGGCATGCATTTCTTCAGCTTTAACGGATAATGCTGGACCGTTCCACAGTGGCTGTGCCAATTTCGCCCCTGCCCTGGGGTTCACAGCGGTTCCGGTTGGGGTTCACGGCAGTTCCGGTTGGGGTTCACGGCAGTTCCGGTTGCCGGCGCCCTGTCCTACCTTTCTGTTGTCCGTCTTTTCATTTCAGCCATGCTGGTGAGATCGCAATCGTGTAACACTGACATTTTAATTTGCATTTCTCTGATGATTAAGGAGATAAAGCACTTTAATACATATTAATTGGTCATTTGGATAACATTTTTGTGAAGTATCTTGCCCATTTTGGTACTAGGTTATTTTCGTATTAATTCCTATGAGGTTTTTTGTTGTTGTTGTTCACTGATGTACATTCCTAATGCTTAGAATAGTTCATAATGCGAAGAAGACACCTGATAATTTTCTTGTTGAGTCAATGAATGAGCTGTAAGTATGCATTCCACGCTCACTTCCTCAAGGATTAGAAAGACAAAATACAGGACACGTCAGTGGCTTGCAGGTGACAAATTCCCTCTCCATCGAACCTTCCACGGCTTTCTTGCCCTCCTCATTGACCTGGCTCCCCACCCACCCAGCCCAGGCTGGGAGGACAGTCCTCCCTTCCATTGGAAACATCATTCAAGACACGGCTGCCATTGCTTCCACTCCTCCAAGCTCCGCGCTGACTTTCCTTGTTGCCACCCCCGGTGCTTCTGGCTCAGCGCTGTGACCGGAAATGCTCTCGGCCTATTTGTACAAAAATCTGCTTTATGAACAGGACTTTTGTCCCCAAAGGTCACTTTAGTTTACAAATACTCTGAGAATGGACCCCCGTTTCACCGAAGTCATCGGCCCTTAAGCCTGAGGGCCACGTGACAGGCGGGAGCAGAGGCCGGAGGGCCACGTGACAGGCGGCAGCAGAGGCCTGAGGGCCACGTGACAGGCGGCAGCAGCGGCCTGAGGGCCACGTGACAGGCGGCAGCAGAGGCCTGAGGGCCACGTGACAGGCGGCAGCAGAGGCCTGAGGGCCACGTGACAGGGGGGAGCAGAGGCCGGAGGGCCACGTGACAGGCGGGAGCAGAGGCACGCGCGACTTGGGGAAGGGAGGGCGCGAGAGCGCGCACGCAGGCCTCGTTGCTACGCCGTCTGGGTCGCGATCATCCGTGAAAGAACGAACGAGTGCTAACACACTTTCGTACTCTGAGAGAGCTCAATTTGTGGGCCTTGTGGGTCAAACCTAGGTTCTAAGCAACCTCCGAACACAGAGGGCGCTGGAGGGACTCCTGGCTTCCTCGGCCCTGCCTTGGGGTCGGCCGGGGTGCGGTCGTGAAGGGCACTGGCACTTTAGGTCAGGCTGGGGCTGGTTTGCCTGGGGGGATTGTTGCGCCCTGGGGTGTGTGTGTGTGTGTGTGCGTGCGTGCGTGTGTGTGTGTGTGTGTGTGTGTGTGTATCTTTGGTTGGGGTCAGGGAGTGGAGCACAACAGACTTTGAGGTGGGTTTCACATTTACTCATTACCTCGCCCCTCTGCGACCACCCCTACGAACTGAGTGAGTGAAGCCCCACGCCGCCTTTGAGGAAAAGCAACGACTCCAAATACAGTGAGCCTCCGTCTCCCCAAGACGATCGCATCCACACGGACGACTGCCATTTGGAAATAAGGACAAGATGGTTTTTTAGACTCTTGTTACATCCTCTACCACTTGAAATCTGCTTCCAAATCCCTAGCTGTGAAGGAGGTGGGTGCAGAAGCTCCTAAGATGTTAGGGAGCTACAGCCTTGTCCAAGAAAGGAGACAGCTGTCTGCTCCTGAGGCCGAGTCAAGGTTCACACTCAGGTGCGGTCTAGGCCTGTTGTGGAATCGGCTGTTGGACTGCCTTTGCTCTCCGCTTTCTGCTGCAGATGGTCAGAGAGCTAGGAGTTCGGTTGTTTTAGGGGGTGAAGTTTGCAAAAGACTTAGGGTAGCATCCTGGATTTCTCCTGGACATCCTCTGCACCTGCCAACACCTGTGAATGAGAAAAATGTCACTGGGCCTCGCATTAACAGGAATTAAATGATTTGTTCCCTCTCAGCGTTGGCTCTTAATTTTTTTTCTAGCTCTTTCTCTCTGTTCTTTTCACTTTCTGTTTCTTCTCCTTCTTCTTATTATTTTTTAATCAATCCTTTTTCTAATATCCTAGAAAATGTCTCAATATAGCCTAGGTGACTCCACCAGAGGTAATGAAGTTCTGACTTCAGGATGAATTGTTGAATCAAATCCCGCACACCAGTGAAGGAACTATTCTATGAACTTCTCTCGATAGCAAATATACCAAAATTATGCTACCAAACGTATTCCTCGGAAAACCAAACAAAGGAAATAGAAACAGGCAAAGTCCTTTTAATTTTCCTTTCCTTTCTTTCTTTCTTTTTCTTGCCCTGCAGCCTAACTCTCAGCTTTCACAGGGTCATTTGAAAAAGAGCGAGTTTCTGGAGACTGGAGCCTCTATTTATCGGGTCCTATTTTGCGTGGCTCCCTTTCCCCTCTTTACCTTCTCTGTTACGGCTTGTGCTCACTTATTCTATGGACACTAACGTTACCAAAGGACACAACAGTAGTATCATCAAGTACTTCTTTTCTGGAACAGGTCGTAACAAGATTCTAAAACACGACTTGTAATTCTCAAAGGGTTTAGGTAGTGTCAATGCAGTCTTACTTGGGGAAGTTGAGCCTTACTATATTTGAAGAGTTTTGGGTCTTTCTCAAAGCCACGGTTGGCTCCAAGGGTGAGATTTCAAAGTTGTCACAGAGGCAATGGGGTAACATTGAAAATGGAGCCTTCCATTGAAAACGTAACGTGGGCCACTCCCCACCTCCGGCCAAACAAGTTCCCCTCTTTTGTCTACGAGAAGGGAAGTGAGTTTGGCTAAGAAAAGATGCGAGTGGGGTGGCTGAACATGGGAGAGAAGGAAACAAAGGGATGATGAGGGAGGAATGGAATGAAATTTCTATGTCCTAGGTGCTGCCAATTCTCCACAAAATGGAGCTTTTGTCTACTGTGGTGGCTGGTGGCCTGAGGTTGGCTCCCACAGCCTGGGCGAAGCCCTCGCTGGCTCCCTCCCTCCCGCTAGGCCCCCTCATAGCTGGGCTCACGGGATGGTGAGGCTGAGTTTCACTCCCTCAATAAACATCTCAGCCTTTCTGCATAATTTTCAGAGAATTCAAGAAGAGATGAGAAGAGGCGATGTAAATGGACAATGCTTTGGTCTCAGTTTCTTACTTCCCTTCAAGAAATCTCATCAGTTGAGGCTTCTTCAAATGGGTGAGTGGATGGATTTTGCCCAAGCGAATTAGATGTATTTGCTGAATTCTGTGGGTGGGCGTGATCTCTGAGCACGTGCGATCCAAACTAGCAAAGTTTCGTATTGATTTTCTTTTTATGTTCTTTAATTTCCAACATTTTAAATCAAATTCATGGAGCTTTGAATAAAACAGTACACCAGCATGGAAAAATCAGAGCACTTTGAAAGTGAAAAAAAGAGGAACCTGCTGTTTGATTTACATCATTTTATTAATGGGTTAGTCAACATTTACTCAGAACCCACTGGGTACAGAATGTAATAGTCGTGTGGGGAAAACTGCAAAAAAAGAAAATAGGAAGATGTTTTTTCTGCTTGCAAAAATCCAGCTCATTTGGTTTAATGGAAGACACCAACGAAAGACATATGAGTACAGCTACGAACAAATAATGGGAACTTGGTGATGTCCACTAAGGACACATAAGTTTCAACTGCCCATGACTGCTGATGGGCTGGCTCAATGACCACGTCCCCAGAAGCCGCCCACTTGGGGACGTTATGGCCTCTCCCTGGGAAAAGTCTCACCTTTCTTAGTTGCTATGGGAGTAAACGTAAGATAAATGTGGTGACTTTGAGGGCTGGTTTTCTACCCCAAATACCCCTGCTTTTATCTAACTAGCAATCCCATCGTGGCCACGTGGCAGTTTATGCCATGGGCTTTGTGACTCTCAGCTCAGGACTCTTCTACCTGCTTAAAGTTAGAAGAAGCAGACGTGACACATGGCTCTGAAGGCACCATTGGTCACACTCGACTCTCTGTGCCTTCATGTGGCCAGCTCACATGTTGTAGAAGCTTCTGCTCTGGATAAACCTAATTTTGAAGGGAGTGAACTTTAATTTCAAAGCCTCCTCATCTGTGCTTCCTTACGGAGGAATCTGGAAAGCTGCGGAGGATGTGGCCGAGAATTCCGTGTCAAACCTGAGAGTCTGCAGGGTGGCTCCATGCTCCCTTCCGACTTGTCGAAAGTGTCTCTGGGTCTCCCGGGGACTGTCGCATTTAACTGCCTGTGCTTTTGAGCCGAGTGCCTTCGAGGCCCCCTTAGTGGCTCAGAACACCTGTGGGAAAGGACAGATATAATAAGATAAACTACTAGAAAAATTCAATTATAAAAACCCTCCAAAGACATATAAAAGCTCAAAATTTTTTTTTTGGTTTGATCAACATAAAAGTATTATGACAATCGCCATAAAACCTCTAAATGCTTACTCTGTTTCTGTACCTATCTCATTGCAGACTTGGTCACAAACAATTTGCAAAATGAAACAGGAACCGGTCCCTGGACTGCCGTTTGAGTAGCACTGGCTTAAAAGGTGACGAGGCTGTGAATTATTTTTGAAGTAGGTGACTTTCAACCAATTGTTAGAGAGCCGGAGAGAAGACCCGCTTTCATTGATTCTGTGTAGCTTTTTGTTCTGACTTAAATCAGAGCTCAAACATTTGAAATCAACAACGTTTCTCCCTAAAAGCCAGTTGTTGTCTCTCTCCACCTCCCGGCTGAGCTGCAAGCCCCTTCTGCCCACTCATGGAAGACTGTTTGGTGCATTCACTGTCTTATCTCTTACTAACGTGCAAGGTCTCATTCAATAGCGCTCAATAAATGCAGGGAGGAGGGATAAAATAATAATACTAAATACATGTGCTAGAAAATAAGCAGGCACTTTGCCCATCAAATTTACAAATAGTGCTGAGAGCATGTTTGTAAATTCGTAAAAGGAAATTTCATTTTCGCCAGCGTCTTCAAGGCAGAAAGATTTGCTGGGAAAACCAGAGTGCGGAAAAAGATGAATATATTTCCTTAGTACACCTGGCCCAGTACATACCTGCGGGCTGCATTTCTCCATGGAAACTGCAGGTGAGGAAGATTATGGACTGAACTCTGGCACCAAGGAAAGAGGGCTGGACCTGAAGCCCCGAGGCCTGGTACACAGTCACTTGAAGTCCCAATAACTAATATTAGTAGTTAAAGTCGCGGCCAGGACACGACGAAATTGGCAAATGTTTGTCCAAGCTCGGCTCCTCGCGTTGGAGCAGGGCTGCCGGGACCTGGGCTGCTGACCTGAGTACAGGGCCAGACCCCCGAAGGCCCTCGCGCAGCTCCCGGGGAGGGGCAGTGTCCCAGCACCCCCGCCACCCTCGCCCCCACTTTTCCGACGTGGATCTTCCGTGGGCTGTTTGGATGACGGTCAGCGCCTGCGCGACTGGGCTCCCAGCCCCTTCCCAGCGCTCGGAGGGGTCCAGCCCCTGCGGCCCATGCGGGAATGCGGGCCGCACAGAGGTACCGCCAGCCCCTCCTAGGCCTTAGGTCCCTGCGCGAGAGAGGCAGGGGAGCCCCTTGGTGACACCCATTGCTCTTCTGAGGGCACCAAAGCCTTCCTAGGTGACAAATCTGACGACTCTTTTTAGTCCTTATTTTTCCTTCATTGCAACTTTTGGCACTGCTAGTCGCTTCCTCCTTGGAGCCCTTTCGCTTGGCTTCCATGACTACTGGGGTCTCTTCGCCTCTTTCTTCTCCCTCTCAGGTGCCCTCAAAGGTCTGTCTTTCATTGACTACTCCTTACACATTCGTGTCCCCAAGTCATGGGCTGTCTCTTTCAAGTCACTGTGGATAGTGAAAGATGGGTAGGTAGAGTCACTCATTCATTCATCATCTGGCACTGTGTGAAGCCCCAGAGCACATTCTCATGATTGGACACTCAGCTTCAAGGTCATGTCCTCAGGGAAGCCTTCTCTCAGCTCCTAGAGTCCAGCTCAAGATCAGCCTTACACTTGAGGTACCTCCCACCTGAGGTCCCTTTTTCTGAGGCACCTGGTATTTATCTTGCTCTAGAACTTACCCCGTTGCTCTAGTTATGGTCTGGGATGTCTGCTTTTTCCACTAGATTTAGCCCTTGGAGACAAGGACTGTGTCCTAGTAATTTTTCTATCCCCATATTATGCAGAAAGAGTCTATTAGTGTTTATTGAATAAATTGAAATAATTTGTGAGCCGTTTTACTGTGCATGACTAGTATTCTACAATTAGAAATGACTTTATCTTTGCAAAATTCCCCAGGGGAAAGAACGCTGAAGACCAAACCAAATGATCCTCTTCTAGGCAGGCGTGGGTGGAGGAGAGGCGTGTGATGGAACAGTGAGGACCGGGCTCCATCCACAGACCTGTGTTCAAAGCCGGGCTTTGCCACTCACTAGCCACTTCACCCCTCCCTGACTCTCGGAGAATGGTTCCTCCCTAGCCATAGGGTTCTTGTGGAGAATAAAAATGAGGGGTAGGGGAAGCACTTAATAATTGGGACTGAATAAGCCTTTAATAAATGCTAGAAATTTGTACTGGGTTTTATACAATCTAAGAATTCACCTTTGAAAAAAAAAAGCCCTTTATTTCGTGTACACTAGGAAAAATGCTGCCAATTGCGACATGCCATTCATTAAAAGACCCATTCTCATTTCAGAGATGCTAAAATGTGGGGGATAGAGTATATTTTAGAATAAATTACAGTATTATTGGGCCTTTAGAAAAAAAGATTGTGGAGGATAAAGAATGGGCTGCAGGAGGGTATTTTGGGGACTGAGTTTGGTCTTTTGCTATATCGGGATGTAAAAATGCAAATATCCTTTCCCCGTTTCTTCCATTTCAGATATAAGACTCCAGACGTTGGAACCTTGCTGCATGCAGGGAAAGATGAAGATCATGTCATTAATGTGAACTATCATCTCAAGAACAGACATCCGCAGAGCTAAAGGAAAGTCAGAACAGGGTAGGGACCCATTAAAACTAAGCGTCTCTGAAACAAGCATCGCTAAGTATAAAATATCCTACGTAACTAATAACTTCAGTTTTTTAGGCATTTTCGAAAATATCAAGAAGAAACAAATTTCTAGTACTTTTAAAGCCAGACTTTCAGATCGGTCAATGAAGTTCTGGATCTACTTTTAACTTGGTGCCTCCCATTGGCCAATACTATCACAACATATCACAGTAACGTGTAGGTCCTTCATTCGGAATTCTAGAGCTCAGTGGGTGAGACGCAAGAGTGAGATGTTTTAGATGGAAATTCAGATCATACATAAAGAAACAACTGAAATAGTCAATGCAAAAACAAAACAGAAAACAAAACACCCCAAAACCCAAAACCACCACCACCAACAACAAAAAAAACCAAACCACAGGCCGAAAGTGTTTCCTCTGGTAGAAAATTTGTGACATTGGGTTAAAAAGAAAAAAGGAATAAATGTCAAGGGCGGCTGGGTTAATGAGTACAGCGAGGACAGCTGGAGACGAGAACGCTGACGTGGACCGAGCGGGAGCAGAAAATTAGGGCGGTGATTACAGCAGCCCCTAACGGGCACTTACTCCACGTCAACGTATAATGGGGCATGATTGGCACCGCCTGCT